TTTTAAAAACGCTCATTACCACTACACCTGGAACAAACTAGAGAAAAAATTATCCCACGCCAAGGTTCAAAATATGCCTTTTGAATTACCCCAGGGTGTATTCTTTAATAAATAGTATGTGTTTGTGGGGAAGTTTCAATAACCAACCGTCTAAACTACTCCAAATTGGAACATGGACACAGCGTAAAACTTCAAAGTTAGAAAAAAACTGAATGGCTGCGTCTCAAATGCGCCCCTTCAACATCCACATATACCTGGCAAAGGTACATACGGGGGTATTGCTGTACTCAGCCGACATAGCTGAGCAACATATGAAGTATTATACAGTCATAGCACACATAAGGTTTGCAAAATATGCTGCGCAAACTCACTTTGTATGTCAAAAAGGCAGAAAAAATGCTTATTACCACTACACTTGGTACAAGCTAGCGGAAAAATGATCCCACGCTAAGGTTCAAAATATGCCTTTTGAAATACCCTGGGATGTCTTCTTTAAGAAATGGTATGGCTTTATGGGGAATTTGGATTATATAGCCTGGTAAAATACTCTAAAATGGGACATAGGCACAGCATAAAAATTCAAAGTTTGAAAAAAACTGGAATGGCTGTGTCCCAAATGTGCCCCTCCGATGTCCACACATACCTGGCAAAGGTACATACGGGGGTATTGCTGTACTCAGCCGACATAGCTGAGCAACATATGAAGTATTATACAGTCGTAGCACACATAAGGTTTGCAAAATATGCTGCACAAACTCACTTTGTATGTCAAAAAGGCAGAAAAAATGCTTATTACCACTACACTTGGTACAAGCTAGCGGAAAAATGATCCCACGCTAAGGTTCAAACTATACCTTTTGAAACACCCTGGGGTGTCTACTTTAAGAAATGGTAGGCCTTTGTGGGGTAGTTTGAATTTAAAACCTGCGAAGATGCTTGGAAATTGCACATAGGCCCAGCGTCAAAATTCAAAGTTTGGTAAAAACGGATATGGCTTGGTCTCCTATATGGCACTGTAGCTTCACAAAATAGTGCCAAAGACATTCATTGGGGGTGTATTTTTACTCAAAAGACTTAGCTGAGTATAATTTGGGAGGTTTGAACTTAGTGGCACATATGAAATATACAAAACGCCCAGCAAAAATGCAATCCGTATGTAAAAAATGCACAAAATTATTTTTTTACCACATACTTTGGCATATATTGGTGAAAAAATGGGGGTATGTTAAGGCACAATATGCACCTTATGAGATACCCTGGAGTGTCTACTTTTACAAATGGTAGGCCTTTGTGGGGGTTTTTTGAACAGTCAAACTGTTATAATACCCCAAATGGAAGCTAAGGCTCATTAAATCCATCTCTCAAAATTCTACTGTGAATACTGAAAAGGACAGGTATCCTGTATGGCACTGTAACTTCACGAAATAGTGCCAAAGACATTCATATGGGGTGTCATTTTACTCAGAAGACTTAGCTGAGCATAATTTGGGGGTTTGAACTTAGTGGCACATATGAAATATACAAAACGCCCAGCAAAAATGCAATCCGTATGTAAAAAATGCACAAAATTATTTTTTACCACATACTTTGGCATATATTGGTGAAAAAATGGGGGCATGTTAAGGCACAATATGCACCTTATAAGATACCCTGGAGTGTCTACTTTTACAAATGGTAGGCCTTTGTGGGGTTTTTTTGAACAGTCAAACTGTTATAATACCCCAAATGGAAGCTAAGGCTCATTAAATCCATCTCTCAAAATTCTACTGTGAATACTGTAAAGGACAGGTCTCCTATATGGCACTGTAGCTTCACGAAATAGTGCCAAAGACATTCATATGGGGTGTCATTTTACTCAGAAGACTTAGCTGAGCATAATTTGGGGGGTTTGAACTTAGTGGCACATATGAAATATACAAAACGCCCAGCAAAAATGCAATCCGTATGTAAAAAATGCACAAAATTATTTTTTACCACATACTTTGGCATATATTGGTGAAAAAATGGGGGCATGTTAAGGCACAATATGCACCTTATAAGATACCCTGGAGTGTCTACTTTTACAAATGGTAGGCCTTTGTGGGGGTTTTTTGAACAGTCAAACTGTTATAATACCCCAAATGGAAGCTAAGGCTCATTAAATCCATCTCTCAAAATTCTACTGTGAATACTGAAAAGGACAGGTATCCTGTATGGCACTGTAACTTCACGAAATAGTGCAAAAGACATACAATGGGGGTGTCATTTTACTCAGCAGATGTAACTGAACACAAAATAAAACTTTGTACAGGAATAGCACACACCAACTTTACAAAATATACACGAGAATTTCTCTGTTATAAGTTTGTGTGCCAAAAACCAAAAAGAACACAATTTTACTCCAATATTTAGCAGAGGTTGGCGGTGAAATGGCTACGTAGAAAGTGTCAAAACAACCTTAGGTAAATAGCCCGTGATGTCTACTTTATATAAATATATACTTTTGTGTGGCAATTTTGTTTTCTTTTATGGCTATTAAGCTTACAAGACAAACATCCCAAATTCTAAAATCGCTCCACATTAAAAGTTTATTTTACTCCTTGTGCTTTGTGACCTGTAACTACCAAAAAAAACTTAAAATCCCAGACACATTATATATTCTGTAAATCAGAACAAATAAATAAATTTATTTTTAATTACTTTCCTTAACCTGCACTAATTATGCACACATTATTATTGCAAAAACTGTAAAAAAAAACAATATTTTTCATTTTTTTTGCATTTTTCTGTATTTTTTTTATAAGTAAGCATTTATATATATATATGTTATATCAAATTAAAGCCCTTTCTGTCCTTTAAAAAACAGTATATAATATGTGTCGGTGCAATAAATGAGAGAGATGCAAATTGCAGTTGAACGCAAACAGCAAGAAAATGCAAAAATTACTTGTGTCATTAAGCGTAAGTCAAGCTTCTGAAGCTGTGTCCTTAAGGGGTTAATAATCCCATTTATTAGTATACGATATAAGCTTTTTGGGGGGAGATTTACACACATGTAAAAAAAAAGAGTGCTATCTACCTCGATATTATATGGATGTCTTTGGTACTACATATGTTTGTACGAGTCAAAAGTGATTTATGAAAAATGCTTAAGCCTACACTTATTAAAAGTTCTATTACAAAATCAATATGACAATCAGGTCATGTAAATAAAGTGCTCATAAAAATACTGTAAGGTTCATTATTGGGTGCTAGAGTTTCAGAATAAAAATGATATACAGGTGCCATCCATATAAAGAAATATATTTTATAGGAGTCAGTTCTACATTTCTGTGGCTGTACATATAAAGGATGGGCCAAAATTAAGAGTAGGGTTTGAGGAGTCAATAACTTTGTTATTAATGAACCAATATAAATGATATGACATACAACGAATGCTTAACATATGGAGATTTGCTTGACTAGGTACGGAAGATAATATCTGAACTCCATTTGCACCCTTGCAAAGTCGGGCTCTTTCGATTGCATTGTTTATAATTTAGTTAGTTTGAGGCTCTAGTGCTCAAATTTCTGCATAATATTCTACTTCAGCTGCTCTAGTCCAGGTGGATTGTTCACCTACACCCACTCCTTCAGATATCCCCACAGGACATAATCGGGAGCTGAAAGGTCGGGCAAATGTGGTGGCCAATTAATCTGGGAACTTTTTGAAATTATCTGCTAACTGAACAGTTGTCTCAGGAGGATCACCATGGCCCCGTCTGTATAGGCAGTAGCCCCATCCCACTGAAACCACATTTCAGGAAGATTTTCTCTTTACATCAAAATAATGAACCTGCAAATTTTAAAATAAAATTCCACTATTTTACTTCTTGTTCCTTTGTGAAATTACCCATGATGTTTCTCCAAAGACTGAGTTATAGTATGTAAGTACATGCAACAACAAAAAAATTGAACTACTAACAAACAGACAAATATGTTATTTACCTGTAAAATTCTACTGTGAAATTTGGCCCACCCCCTATTTCTTCTCCGCAAAACAATATCATATGCATTGTATAGATCGTTTACAATCACATGAATAATCTTTTGTGACCAATTGAATTGTAGGTCCACAGATGGAGTTCCCTAGGGAATCTTTGACTATTTAGGCATGTAAAGGGCACAACACTGAGTGGGCAGTTCTGTGTGCTGTGATCATCATGTAATAGTTAAATGCCAGAACATTTATTATTACAGATATTTGCAGACATTTGTAGTAAATTCTTAAATGCAAATAATTTTGATTAAATGTTCTGAGTAGTTTACTTTTCGAATGCTTATCCTATTGTGCATTTTTGAATTAGTGCGCAGTTGAGCTGCCCTAAACTGAACATGAACACAGAACGTCTTAAAGAATTTACTGCAGAAATTCAAAGTTGGACCCTTTAAAACCACAGTTTGACCCCTCCACTCACACATACACAGCCACAAACCATGCATGAACAAGGAATATTATTGCAACTATTTACACACACTATTAACACACAGTAATGAATAGCGTGTGTTAATAGTATGCAAATAGTTTCAATAATATTAATTGTTCATTAATATTCCTAATATGAGAATCAATAAATAATCTTTTCAATCAAGGTATTTAAAAAAAAAAAATCTTTTATCATTATTTATCACATCCTGTGTAGTTTTCAAGGTGAAATACAGTACCTATTGAACTGATTTGATTGTGATTCAGTATGAGTATATTTTCTGCCTTTATTTAAGTTAAATATAAATATACAGGATGGATTAATGTAACAATGCACATTAAGCCAATGTACAAAAGGTACAAAAGCTAAAATAGAAAAAAATCCAATTACGAGATTCTAATACAATGACCTTCAAAGAACTTTGTTGTGCATGATGGATTTATGTTTACCTTTTATTGTATTCATGCTTTTCTTCAGACAGAAAGAGGAGAGAAACAATAGTGTGAAAATTTAAATAACGTTTATTAAAATAACTATCTGCTCATATAAAACTTGGTGGATGTAGCACTTACACTAAAATCAGAATGATATAGAGAAGATTAGCATGCCCGCTTCTCAAGGATTTTTGAAGCTTTATAAATAGTATCTCGCCTGCTCAGACAAGAGTGGATGGAATACTCCAATTAAATGTAAAACCTAAGCTGCAGTCAATTTCTGTTCCCAATTCTGCATTTCTCTCTTTTTCTATTTTTTCTGTAATAGGTGCTATAAAACATATATTTTCTAAAATGTCAAGTTCATGCTTTTATAATATAAGTTAATAAGATTAATTTTATTAATTTCACTTTTTATATACTACATTGATTTATGACGTATATAGTGACCACATATAGACTATTTGTTATACAATAAAAATGTATCCTTATCCTTTCAGTGCTGACTTCAACTAAATAACATAATATAATGTATATTAAATAAAATAAGGAATCCAGGAAGTACGACACGAGGAACAAAAATTAAATGTAATCGGACTTTCCTGACTTTTTTTATAAAATAGACTTTTTCTTCTTGCTTCGCAAATACATAGTCAATACTTACAACCTCATTGATGTTAAATAGGTCAATAGCTGATGGTATATGCTGGACATTCATAGTGTGGAGACACTCTCCCCTTGGTGTCCTGTGTCTCAGAGCCTGAGTCTCATTATCTCCCAGTCTCTTTACACAGATAATACATTTTTTTTATATATATATATATATACACCCTGTTCCAAATTATTATGCAAATTATATTTTTCTAATTTACCTTAATAATTGATGTAAATTACAGTCAGCATAATTCTCATGTTATCAACTATTAAGAGTACAATTCAAATTGTATTTAACAAACCTCCTAATGATAACAGTATTTTTTTTAAACATAAAAATCTTACAATGCACTGTTCCAAATTATTGCGCACAGTAAGTTTCAAAACCCTTTATAGGTTGTAAAGAACTGAAAATTGTAATTTGTTGTGTTTGCAGCATATTTACTGAAATCAAAAGCTATTTCAATGAAACTTATAACAACATTTTAACTTTTTAAACATTTTAACAGGTCACGTTACATTTTAACATAGGACCCCTTATTTGATAGCAGCTTCACAAGTCTTGCATCCGTTGAACTTATGAGTTTTTGGACAGTTTCTGCTTGAATTTTTTGCGAGATATCAGAATAGCCTCCCAGAGCTGCTGTTTGGATGTAAACTGCTTCCCACCCTCATAGATCTTTTGCTTGAGGATGCTCCAAAAATTCTCAATAGGATTGAGGTCATGGGAGGATGCAGGCCACACCATGACTTTCTCTCCTTTTATCCCCACAGCAGCCATTGATGCAGAGGTATTCTTCGCAGCATGAGATGGTGCATTGTCATGGATGAAGATGATTTTATCACGGAAAGCATAGTTATTCCTGCTGTAACAGGGAAGAAAGTGGTCAGTCAGAAACTCCACATACTTTGCAGAGGTCATCTTTACACCTTCGGGGACCCTAAAGGGTCCGACCAGCTCTCTTTCCATGATTCAGGCCCAAAACATGACTGCACCACCGCCATGCTGACGTCGCATCCTTGTTGGAACAGGGTGGCCGTCCACCAATCATCCACTACTCCATCCATCTGAACCATCCAGGGTTGCACGGCACTCATCAGTGAACAGGACTGTTTGAAAATTAGTCTTCATGTATTTTTCTGCCCAATGCAGCCATTTCTGCTTGTGAGCATTGGTTAGTGGTGGCCGAATAGAAGGTTTAAGCACAGTTGCAAGACTCTGGAGGACTCTACACCTTGATGTCCGTGGGACTTCAGAGGCACTAGCAGCTTCAAATATCTGTTTGCTGCTATGTAATGGTATTTTAGCAGCTGCTCTCTTGATCCAATGCATGGATCTGGCAGAAATCTTCCCCAATGTGCCTTTATCTGCACGAACCCATCTGTGCTCTGAATCAGCCACAAATCTCTTAATAGTGCGATGATCACGCTTACGTTTTTGTGAAATATCTAATGTTTTCATACCTCGCCCAAGGCATTTAACTATTTCACTCTTTTCGGCAGCAGAGAGATCCTTTTTCTTCCCCATAATGCATGAAAATGGTGCTCTGCTTAATAATGTGGAACACCCTCCTTTAGTAGTTTTTCCTTAAATTGGGCTCACCTGGCAATCTAATTATCACAGGTGTCCGAGCCCTAAGACACAGTGCCATCCATGAGTTAAACTGAAAAACAAAATATTTAATCTTTGTGACACTAAAATGGAATTTGCATAATAATTTGGAACAGGGTGTATTTAAAACCAAAGTGGCTGTGCATGCATTACAAAGTCAGTTTTGACTATTGATACAATATGCTTGTTGGCAATTCTATTAATCCCAAGTTCAATGGACAATCAGAAATAGAAAATAAAATGTTGCATCATTATTATATTTCTATAACATTTCATATCATCAACAATCAAGCTGCAGTTGAGAGGAGCAGAATTCAGTTATGAGGCGTGAGTGCTTGATAGAACGCAGTAAGCGTTCCAAAAGACATACAGACTCTATTTGTTAATATTATGGGGAAATGGACACAGTCTCACACATGCGCACCATGGCGGTGGAACACAGCAATACAAGTCATGTGCTCCAAAGACAAATGAGGTACGACTAGGAAGTTCGGACGGAGTGGAACACACGATGCATTCCAAACAGAAAGGACTGGATCTGTAAGAGAGTTGCTGGTGGGCTTTAAAAAGACGCAAAGGAAACTCTGGACACTGTACTCACGGAGTAAGCCCCTACCATAGGGCAAAATGTGTTTCGGACCACCAGAGGACTTTTTAGGCATAAGCCATAGACTTATTGGACTTTTACAACGACACCTTTTATTGCACTTTATTTAGTTTTTTTAACTGATACTCAATAAAGATCTTCTTTGAAAAGAAGTTTGAATGCCTATTACTACTCACAGCATCTACAACCCTAATAGGGGACGGACCAATAGAGGATGGGGACATCCTATAAGAGTCCCACTGCGCTTCGCATGGAAGCCATATGTGTGGATTTGGCTCCATGTTTGTGAGTAAAATCATTGATACTAGATATACATTACATTGTACAGACTTCTTGCACTTTTTTATTTTTCTATAGAGATAAGTTACGGATGCTCCACCTGTTGTACGTATGTTTTATGATTTTATTAGAGTGGTGTGTGGGGATTCCACTCAGGTATTTAGAGCATCCTCTGTCACCATTCACCCATAACTGTGTATCCTATTAACTTGGGAGAAATAGAAATGAGCTTGCAACACTTATTGTCATCTAATGATGTCACTGAAGATTATCCATTCCTCAGTATGAAATGCATTTAAGAAACATTTCCAAAACATAGAATATTTTACACCTATGTAATACAATCTTCGGTTTAGCAAGTTATACTTATTTGTGGGAAGCTGCATTCCCAAAAATACAATTAGATTGGATACAAACAGCCATAAGATGTGCAATTGACCATTTGATACATCCACTCTATATTTAGGAAAGGATATTGCTGCTGCTATTTCAAATGGTCTGAAATATTTCATAATCTGAAATTTTGGAAACTTTTATGTGAATAATGAACAAATGCAGTAAAAATAACATATCTTTAAATAGTTATATTTTATAGCTATCTCTGAGCAGCAATATGTATAGATATCAAACTGATGTTTTAGTGTATCCTTAATTAATGTGGTAGCTATTGATCCCAGGTTTGTGGCATGTTATTTTGAAATCTAACAATTCAGCAGAAAAATTGTTAATTTCCTTATTGGAAAAAATGTTCAAAAAGTAATTGGGAATCAGCTGTTACTAATTATTTGGGTTTATTTATCAATATATTCTGAATATAAAACCCACCTTTGAAACAGAAAAATCAGCCAAACGGGCTGAAAGGGGAGAGAAAGCTTGTTTGCAGAATAATGACATTGGCTTGATAAATTATTCTTCGCTAATTGCAGACTTTAACCTCCTAACTATAAACATGTGCAGAAGCATGACGAATTAGTGTCATGGCATATAATTAGCATCCAATTTTCTCTTGACTGTAATGTGACAGAATCCAATGATATGTTTTAACCTCTGGATTTTTTATGTATATAAGTCTGATCAAGACTTACAACTCAGACAAACAATATTGTCTGCTCAACCAGAGACAGTAAAAGACAGGAACAAGAGACAAACCTGTTATAATGCCTATGTTTCAGAATATTCACTGGAGTGAACATGCAGTTTTAAGAGAAAACTTTGACGTGGATTTTGTTGCTTTCTCATTGCAAAATTGCATTCATAATTATCCACAAAATATAAATGGATTTATCAAAAAGCTTTATTATGGAATTCCATCAAACTAACAGGAATGTTTAGATAATATTTCTCATAGTCTGTTTGACAATCCCATTTTTGTACCTTTAGAAATATTTGTTATTTACCTTTGTATAACATTTATTTGTACAACTATTAAAAACAATGTTAAATATTACCTGTTTTCATAAATTGGATACGTAATACTTGCCAATCAAAATTTGTATTGAGACATTAAGCATATGGACAAGGTGACAGTACCACACTGACACGAGAAAAGAATGCAGCAGAAACCTTAACTGATGAACTGAGCTAGACAGTGCAATACTATAAGTCACATAGTGAGTTTTCATTTAATATGAAATTAAAACAAATAGTAAGCTAAAGAGTAATATCTAAACAGGTAAGTAAAAATATGATCTTAATGGCAAAGATTATAGAATAAATGTGCTGAGAACAGGCTAAGTAATATTCGGTAACTAGAAACGTGTCAGCCTACATGGATATACAACAGGCTAGTGCAAGGAACGGTTATCTTAAAATTTAGTTAGATGGTTCATATTATGAGACTCACTCACTTTAGAATCCAAGCCATGGTAGGAGACATATGATTAACGATTAAATTAAAGTGCCATTAGAAAACAGAAAGACATGGATCACTGCAGTGCTAAAGGATAATTGCATGAATATGTAACATTTCTGCCATTTCAGTCAAGCTATGCCACAGATAGGCCATATTAGATAGTTCATTTCTGTGCCAGATCCTTCTTCTCCCCTCGCCCCCTCTAAT